TGGGGAATGTGACTGTCCATTCACAAAGGATGAGCTAAACAGAGCTGTATGATGCATGAGGATGACCTCACCTGGTGGAGATAACATACATAATGGCTTCCTGAAAGCACTAGAACACAAACACCATGAATCTCTTTTTACTCTGTTCAATTAAAGCTTTTACTACAATGCACCAAAACCTGGAGTTATTTGGAGTTATTTTACCAAAAAATATAATTGATTTTACCACCCGGTCTAAGTTACCCCAAGAGCTGGGGTAACAAAGACCATCACTTTTTTTGAAATTACATAAAGACTATGAGAGGCAGGAGCCTGCAATTTATGGTGAGTGAAGCTAGAGTATGGACCTGTATTTTGCATGTTTCAATTCAAGTTTAATTTAGCTAGTAAAAAAATGGCATCATTTATAAAAAAAAGTGGTCTAAGTTACCCCATTTTATGGTACATAGTTGATCGAAAGAAACTTCTGTCATCAAGTCAATGTTGATTTCGTTGACAGAAGAGTACTATGGACGTCCTCATTAAACTAGAGAGTCAGATATGTACTGCACAAGCAGCATCTGAAGTGTGTTTGGTTGTTTATATAGATCTGCAGGTAGCATTTGACAAAGTATGGATTGATAGACTTCTCTATAAGCTGGCACAAGCTGGAATATGTGGAGCCCTGTCACGATGGCTTCATACTTACCTGAATTCCCGAACTGCCCTTGTTAGAGTGAATGGAGTGCTGTCAGAAGCACTTCCCAAGCTGGCAGGGGTGTCTCAAGGTGCTGTACTGAGTCCCCTCTTTTTCAATCTTATGCTAATGGATACTCCGCAGCTTGCCGGTATAGAGGTGTTGCTTTATGCAGATGATATCACAAATTGTGATATGGACATTCTCATTAAACTAGAGTCAGATACGTGCTGCACAAGCAGCATCCGAAGTGTGTTTGGTTGTTTATATAGATCTACAGGGGGCATTTGACAAAGTATGGATTGATGACAACCACTCATTAGTGGTTGTCACTAAAGCCTGTTATATTGCGTCTAGCACCTCACAAATAGCATATGGAATTTTTTCGGAGATGCCATTCAATAGCCCTCGCAAAGAGCTATAAAATGAGCCTAAATTTGTTTCTGAAATGTTTCATTGTAAGAAGTTATTAACAAAAAACTCTCAGAACCATCCCGTTTTACCCTGTTTGACAGTATTTACAATTACAAAGTCCATGCACATGTTACCCCAAATCTCTAATTTTACCCTAAGACAATCGAACAGCAAAACTAACATTTGGCTTCCTTAAGTGGCAACTGAACACATGATAATGCAGTCTGACTGCTCTGACGTGACCGCATTGTTGAGGTCATCTTCGAGGAAACGTTTTCAGTTTCTTGAAGGAACTGAAACATGGTCCCAAATGTTGGGGGGGGGTCAGCCCCTCTAAAGGTTGACGGTCTGGCCAGTATAGTACCAGACCAGCACTGGGAACAGAATGAAAACAAACTCAGGAAATCAAACAGAGGAAGAACCAGGCAAAAATATATTAAATAGAATCAGTGGTACATGAAGGTAAAATATGAAGGTTAGTAGGTTAGTGAAGATGGGACAGCCCAGGGCTATGAGTGATGGGGTGAACCTAGCATGAGAACGAAATAACCAGCAGCCCAAACTGGATTGAACAGAACAGAGTAAACAAGGATAACTAGCAAAGGATCAAAACTGGGTCAGGATAATAATGAGTGAACTAAATCTGATCAAAAATACATAAGAGAAAATTGCAGTCTTGAAAATTGGTCTTGAGTCCAAGCTTGGCTTTATCAATCCTCAGGCCAGGGTCTGGGAGTGTCAGTGAGCAGTGTCCATAGGAAAACAAGAAGGTAGTGATCTTACCAGTGGTAAGCAGTGGAGGGAACAGAATGGGCTTACCGCAGTGGTTACAGCAGGAGTAAGCAGACAATGTGGCTGGGCTTAAACGAGGCCCCAACACTGGCTCCAAACTTGGATTGTATATGGACCAAGAGTGGCCCAATACTCCACTGACATGTGGTTCTGATGCTCGTCCAGCACCGGCAAAACTCGCCCAAAGATTTGTCCCAGACTGGACCGGAACGTGCTCCAAACTAGCCACTTGGCAAAAGTGTGGGGGCGCGAGCACATAAAACCTATCCAACAAAAACACTTGAAACACATAAGTACACTTGGAACACATAAATAAACATTGAACTACCTACTACTAAACTCTAGAACAATTGAAAGGGATGAATGATGATATATACAAACATTTACTTATAACATTCAAGAATTAAAATTTAGGACTGAGATGCATGGCAAGAGTATTTCCTTTACTCTCCTATTTAAGAGCCTGGATAGTCTTAATAGATCAGTGACAAGTCAGCAAGGAAGTCTTCATTGCCAGAAATGAAGAAATCATGTAAGGAACTGAAGATGAAACGTGAACCATCTATGTGATCTTTGAGGAAATGTTTTCATTGACTTATTGTTATTAAGTTTTGCAGGATATTTTGGTGGGAATGTTGAAGTAATGTGGATTGCGCCATCATTGCAGAATTTGAAAATTTTATGAAACATGTTTGCAAAGTTGCAAACTGTGATTTTTCAATCTAACAAAAATACATGAGATTAGAGCCTCAAGATTTCATACCTACTGAAATTCTATGATATTAGAGCAGGGATATTTAAAAAAATAGGACTTTTCCAGCCTTGAAATGGGATAGCATCCTCCATCCTTTGACAATCATTGTAAACAATTGGTTTAAGATAACCCCATAAAAAATCACAGAGCCTAATCAAGGGATTGGGCTGGCCAAAAAAGGTTGCCAGTCACGGAGATGAGGTGTCTTCATTGCCAGAAATGAAGAAATCATGTAAGGAACTGAAGATGAAACGTGAACCATCTATGTGATCTTCAAGGAAACGTTTTCATTGACTTGTTAAGTTTGCAGGATATTTTGGTGGGAATGTTGAAGTAATGCGGATTGCGCCATCATTGCAAAAGTTGAAAATTTTATGAAACATGTTTGCAAAGTTGCAAACTGCGATTTTTCAATCTAACAAAAATACATGAGATTAGAGCCTCAAGATTTCATACCTACTGAAATTCTATGATATTAGAGCACAGATATTTAAAAAAATAGGACTTTTCCAGCCCTGAAATGGGATAGCATCCTCCATCCTTTGACAATCATTGTAAAGAATTGGTTTAAGATAACCCCATAAAAAATCACAGAGCCAAATCAAGGGATTGGGCTGGCTAAAAAAGGTCGCCAGTCACGGAGATGAGGCGCTCTGCAAATGTTGTCTCAAAAGTTATAGAGAATGCAGATGGCAGAAACACCTCTTTAACTTTCTAAGTCTTTGGGTTTTGTGGCCATGGTGGCATGCTGGCCTTATAAATGAGTGCAAGGTGAATTACCTATGTCATTGAGGAGCGTGGTGGCCAAAAATAGGAGCATGCTTGTTCCAATGGGAGCGAAAGTAAAGCAGCGGCAGCGTGCTTGTTGTGCTCCAATAGGAGCAGGATGGCCTGGAGCTAGAGGAGTGCATTTGAGCGCTCTAGCATCCAAATAACTGCCGTTTCATTAACAAATAGCACTCTTGGTCTTCGAGAGCCTTCCAATTGCACTTCTCCGTCCACCCACCCACATATCAATTGATTTGCAATCAGGAACGCAACCTGAAGAACATATGGAACTGAGAATGAAATGCTAGTTTAGCAGCAATAATGGAACAGTCATTAGGAAAGTATGCATTAACGCCAATCGCATGCTGCTCACTTAACCAATGCACAGTGGCAACTGACTAGTCAGGACTCAAAACATCATGGCCTTGCCTTTCATATGAAGTACTCCCCACCATTTTCCTATAACATCTGGCTGCTTGGCCCAAAATAAAAAACAGGAAGTTTCTGTGAATCATTCTGTAGATCTGACCTGTATTACAAGGTTATTGACAATTGGCAAGTTAAGTGCAGTAGCTGTTGAGAGGCAAATCAGGCAATGTACAGTCAACCGGGGCTACTTGGGACGGGCAGGGTAACTTGGGACAGTCCTCCGACGTGGCGTAAAACTGTTTTAGTAGCAAAACGAATTAGAATATTGCAAAACTAAATATAGTGGCGTAAACGTCAACATTTTTCCTATCTATATAGTATAGGTATAAAGGAAGTTCAAAAAACTATATTTACTAGCTTCGAAAAATTCCTGAACAAATGGTGAAAAACAATATTTTGAAAAGTTACTTCTGCAGTTCTGCTAAGGTCTGTGGTAAAAAAATATTTGCCGTATTAAAAAATTTCGCTTAGAAAAGGGTGGCAGACAAGTGTCAGCATGAAAACTTTATTTGTGGAATAACTGGAATTTACATACCTCACTCAAAAAAAATGGTGGCCATTTGTGGGGGCTACTCAGGACACCCTGAGCCTGAGTAGCCCCCACAAATGGTGGGGCTACCCACGACACCCCCCCCAGGATAAAAACAAAGAATATTGATTAAATTTATGGTTTACCTTGCTCAGCAAAAAAAAATTCACTTATCAAAAATTTAGTGCATCATCAGTCATCACAAAATTGTGCTTAGAATGTCATACATAAAATTGTGCACCAGGCATCATAGAATGAAAAGTAATTGACCTAAACTATGATTTTCTCCATTACATAGGCATATAAAATTTAAATTTCATTCCTAATACATAATTAATCATTCCTAATCTCAATTAATTAAAAACATTATCTGGTTAGTTAAATAGTAAAAGAACTATTTAAACAGGAGAATCTCTTTAATGTAAGAATTTTTTTTTTCAACAATTAGAAGTTGCACAGTTTGGCTAGTTTACAGGCATAAAAATATTATTGCTGAATTTATCAAGGTACTTGCTAATTATGTTAATGAATCTGCTCATATACCAGGTATTACTAACAATTTTTAATGGTACCTATTTCTTGTAAGCTTAACTTGCTGTACTTAAATTTTCTACTTAACTAATTTTCTATTTCATCTGCCATTTGCAGGACTTCTTCTTCCAGCAAACAATGTTGCGCATCAAAGACCCAAAATTGTCTTTAAAGTTCTACACAGAAGTTCTGGGCATGCGCCTTCTTTCTAAACTGGATTTTCCTGAAATGAAATTTTCACTTTATTTCATGGGCTTTGAGAAAGAGGAAGACATCCCTAAAGATCCTGAGGAGAGGAAAAAATGGACATTCAATCAAAAGGCAACCCTAGAACTAACTCAGTAAGTCAATGTGTTTGTCTGGTTTTTGCCATGAACAGGGTTTGTACCAGTCATGGAAAACCTGGAAAGTCATGGAATTTGATTTTTCATTTTCCAGGCCTGGAAAGTCATTGTATTTCATTTCAGGTTATGGAAGGTCATGGAATTTGGAAATAACAGATGAAAAAATATAACTTGGTACTCGCTGCAGTGAGCGACAGAGAGCGCATTTTATCGTCAACGAAAACGTGAAGTCAGGGACAGACAGACGGAAGGACAGACATACAGACAGACGGACATGACAGGCACAATGGGGCATTTTTTCCATAAATGAGAAAATGCACTAAAAAGGAAGTTTTTTTTGTGCTGCATGTGTTATGCTGTTTGTGCAGTTTCTTGTTTCCTGCTTTCTGATTGGAGAACTAATCACTTGAGCTTGGTCACCAAGCTCAGTTGTATTCGACAACTTTTTGATGTGTGCAATTTCTGCATCACCATGCCTAGAAAGTGCAAATTTCATGACTTTTGGTTAAGAATAGAAGCTTATTGTGACTGGCTTACTTGCCATCCTAAGCATGAAGGTATGGCAATATGTACATTGTGCTTGAAAGATTTTGATGTGTCAAATATGGGGGAAGCAGCTTTGAAGAGCCATGCCAAAGGCAGCAAACAAACCAAGATTTTCAGATTTGTGCCATTTCTGTTCCTCTGTGTCTGCCTGCTCTATGCATTTAAATGTTTGTTATTTATCAACTGTAGCAGATGATAGAATATGCACGGTTAGTCTTTCAGTCATGCTAAACCTGCTTTATACAAGTCTCGGAAAATTATATTGATGGTCATGGAAAAGTCATGGAATTTTTTTCTAAATACCAGTACAAACCCTGTATGAATAACTTGTATAAGTTTCAAGAAATCAAACATGACAACCAAAAAAAACTGGCAGATGTAATTTATGGTAATGACACGATAAATTTGAAATAATTTTGTGAAATAACTTATTTTTATGCCTTTGTGTCATGATTCTGATGGTACTACCTAGATTTTAACATTGATCATTTTAAAATATGGAAATTGCTTCCCAAATTGTAAGTGATGATGTTATCAACATTTATGTAATTTCCACTTATAGTGAGCATTTTGCAACACTGTTCAGACCTCCTCCCTGTTGATTCTCCTGAGATGGTGTCAATAAATAGTTTTATTTAATAAATAATTATTTTTAGATACTACCTAATTGACTCAAGACATGTACAATTGTACAGCCATAATGTAAAATCAATGCTTCTGTAAACTACAGTCATGAAAATTTGTTGTATCTGTGAAGATAAATTGTTCATAAGTTATATTAGGCTAGGACTTTTATTCTTTCTATTATCTGAATTTTCTTACTATTCTTGAAAGAGAAAATTAGATGTAGGGATCTCAATATTGCAGATAAACTTGACTGATTAATTTTATCTAATTGCAGCAACTGGGGAACCGAGTCAGATCCCAACTTCACAGGTTACCATAATGGCAATTCTGAACCGCGTGGATTTGGTGAGAAAATGGCACTCTTCTCTCCTTGAAAAATAGCTAAGTTTGCTGAAAAGTCTTTAGCAAAGAAAAGTCTTTAGCAAAGTTTGTAATACTTTTTAAAATTGAATTGTGTGTGTATTAATTTCTGTGTTATTTACCTATTTCAGGCCACATTGGCATCAGAGTTCCTGATGTTGATGCTGCATCAGAACGCTTTGAATCACTCCATGTAAAGTTCATCAAGAAGCCTAATGATGGTGAGTCCGGGACTGTGTTTTTGTACTGGATCTCAAGGTATTTTTCCAGCAATGGTTTTTATTGTTACTGCCTATGTGAAACCTAATACATCGATAACATTCCTCATTAAAAAAAATCCATTGTCTCATATCTCATGTATTTTACCAATAGCTTGCTAATATTGAAGATTAGTCATTAAATTTTTTCTGCCTAAACTTGCTTGTTATAATAGTACATACATAATATTTTAAACTGTGCAAGAAGATATACTGTAGGTATATTGATCAATGATCAGAAATCGGAAGATAGATAATGACAGCCAGCTTGACAGTGAATTGAATGAGAATTACTGTCACCATTCAATTCATCTGACTCAGAATGTCAAACTTTAATCTTTTTGTGCTCTATCCTTCATTTTGAACTTTTTTTCGCCTGATGCCTTAAAGAACTGTTGTATCTATGTTTTGTATTGAAGAATAGATGCCTATATTATATCCACCAGGTCCAGATGTAATATAGTAATAGATACCTATATTATATATAATATAATAATAGGCAGATATAATAATAGATACCTATATTATATCTGCCATACCTATATCTAACTTTGTCTTGTATTGATATTCAAGGGCAAGACAATTTTATTATTTTTATTGCGTATCATGTCCCCCTTTACTCCCATTTATCTTTAGAAGTAGTATCAATTTTCAAGATATTTCACTGTTCAATTTCATTATAATACCTGTACTTCATTGATTGTTCATGTCAAATCAACATGCCTTTATTTATAATTTTGCAATTCTTTTGTCCAGGGAAAATGAAGGGTCTAGCTTTCATCCAAGATCCAGATGGTTACTGGATTGAGATTCTCAATTACGATAAGTCCAAATTTTGATAGACCAGGTATTTATGCATCAAATATATTCAATTGGCTTCAAATAGTATTGTAACAACTTGAGTCGTGTTGAACGTTGTGTTTATGAAACCTTTATCATTTGCTTTATGTGCTTTAAATGCTTGAATATTCGCCTCAAATATGAATTCGTCTGAATTAAATAATAATATATGTTTAAAAATTGCTTTTTAAAGACAACACTTCTAAAGAATCCAGTGCCTCCAATGTTACACATGTACAATGAATTTCTAATTTTATTTTCAAATATTAAAAAAAAATATTTTTTGTTATAATAAAAATATTAAATTTTCAAAATTAGTTATTCCGACAATTGATTCGTGCAGTGTCTCCGACTTAATCAAGTGTTCAAATTTTCAGATAAATCGGACAGGTAGAAGTGTGTTAAATATTGATTATAAGATTTGTAGCAGACAAAATTATTTTTTCAATTTATATATTCTCATAGGAGTTTAAAAATTAAATTTACGAAAACTGTCTTATCAATGAATGACTGAATCTGTTTATAAATTCCAACGTAAATGTATCAAGAAAGAGAGTTTTATTTTACCTCTCCCTGGTGCTGATATTGCCTTAAATATCGCCTTATTTATCTTAGTGTCAAACGCCTGTAATTTTTTTCGATGATATCTTTTGATCATTGGTCAATTCGTAAAGGCCGAATTTGGATTTTCCAGTAATTTTTCTAGAAAGTTTATATCCTGTACACGAAGAATATCTAGTCTCATCAAATTCTATTTTGTACCTCGGGAATAAATGTTGAGAGTACCAACTGTGTAATAGTATTTTTATTTATTAGAAGTCGTATCTAACGACACGTGTTATTGAGCTGACATAGCAACGTTGATCATAACTTGGACACAGAACTTCTGTTGCATCAGTATTGGTTCACGCTATAGTCGCATGCAAGTCTGGCCGTACATTTGATATGTAGTTAATATTGTACTGACATTCAAGAGATACATAGGTTACTCCTCAAATGTCGGCGCACTGCATGTACGAAGAGCGTGACATTCAAATGTATAATACGTCAGCAGAAGAGTGATGTTGGCACCGCTTTTTCTCTCTTAGATTGAATGGTGACGTAGCTTTTATATATAGCCGTGTGATAACACGTGCTTACCTCTGATATGAACATAGTACTGAGATGACTGGTGTTCATACAGAGCATCGTTGTGCCAAGATGTCCTTGGAACCCTAAGAATGTCACCCTAACTTTACACTCCATTAGCACGAGAAGCTAGCTACATCTAAACTTGATTTGAGTATATACTGCCCTGTCAACGCAAAAATTTAATAAATTACTGCGATCTCTTTTTAATGAACATAGATTTGATGTGTGTTTGTTAATGTATTTTATATGTATATGTATTGTATATGTATATGTTTATTGGTTGTACGTCGTAGATTAGTAATGATTGGGGCTATGTTCTGTAATCTGGTTTTCATCGACTCCTTTAACGTACGGAGAAGCATTAACTCGACTTTATAATTACAATGATTAAATGACAGTAACGAATTTACAAATCGTTAACTATACGAAAAAAATGCAAAATGATTTGGAAAGTTTGTTTATGATCTGCATACCCAACAGGACTGAGCCTATAACAGTCCCCGGTGACTTTAAGGATAACGGGTGTCCGGGTTGGGATACTTTCTTTGCCCATGGGCCAGGACGCCGTTATTTAAACTTCATCTAGTTAATGCTCTTAGCTTTTTGAACATGATTTTGACACAGTTTGTAAATTGATTTAAACCATTTACGTCTTGACCACTTTATTTAATTTATAGATTCGGGGCGCAGTCTTTGTTAAAGTGTTGAGTGAAATCCCATCGAGCCGATTTATTCACAAATAAACTTCGCCCCGTATGCTCCATAGATGACTTTATCTCTAATAACCTGCCTTACATTTTTGTGGTCATCAGGCAGTCCACTGTCTTTATTTCAACTGACCTTCGCATAACAGCTGTGAAACTAGTGGCACGTTTTAAAATTACGCGTCTTAATAGTAATAGAGCGTCATAATGCGTTGCAAGAACATGGCCAGTATCCCCCGTTGAAAACTAACTAGTTCGACCTTGCTCCAGCTGACCCCTAGGCACATTTATATGACAGCCTCAAAGGAACAAAAAAAAAACTGAGTAATAAAAAAGTTCTGCTAATGATAACCAATCCGTGATAAGAGTGCAATTTCTAATTGTATTGATAATTATCCGTCAGATCCATAATCGCAAAAATTAGGATTTGGTTTCCACTTGAAATGGACTGATTTACTTGCTCCTTTGAGAACGGAGCATTAGCCTTTTTATGGTATTTTCTCATTTATGGAAAAAATGCCCTATTGTGCTCGTCATGTCCGTCTGTCTGTCTGTCTGTCCGTCCGTGACTTCACGTTTTCGTCGACGAGAAAATGCGCTCTCTGTCACTCACTGCAGTGAGTAGGCCACTGAGTTATATTTTTTTAAAATTTGTTGTCGTGTGATAGGAACGAAAAAGTCTCTCATTGATTCATATTCGGGGAATCATTGTTGTATTAATTATGCATGGGCGAGTAGAATAAATACTGTATTACGAGAAGAGTGTAGACAGCCAAAGTATGGATTACTCACTGAATGGCGTAATAATGCGAACTCTGTACCTGTTTGAAGGCTTGCCAGATAGTGGCAGGAAAAAATGGCCAATGTCGCTCACAGAGAAAGCCAAAACCAGTCAAAATGTGATATTTGTAAGTAAATTTGTCATGTACCGCCAAACAATTCAATTTTTCAGGTGTTAATACATTGGATAAAATATGGCTTACATAATTTTTTGCGGGCCAACACTATTGAAAAAAGGCCCAAAATAGTGAAATTTAGCTGGAAAATGGCATATCTGGCAACCAAGACCTGTTGTCCTTCTACGGGTGAACTGACAAACCAAGTCAAGTTCCTTGACACAAAACTGGTTAGCCACAAATTACGGAGCTCAGTTTTTACGGAACAATTACGTAGAGAACTGGCCTTGGTTGCGGCAGCCAGTGGATTTGACACGGTCGGCAAAAATGAATGCAACAATCAGTACGTTTGGATGCACTCGCCTAACCTAAGCTGCGAAATACGGTTTGTGGTTTATATTCAATTTTATACTGTACTAATTAATGTGAATATATTTTACTGAAATAACCATGTTAAAATTTCACAGATTAAAAGGCTTTTTCGTATAGAAATATGTGCTGAATTCTAATGACTTTTTGAGCAAAACTAAAGGCAAAGCTGTTTCAGAAATCAACGTACATTCAGAGCTCTGTATTATAGTGTAACAACGAAATTTGCCTGATCGACCTCACTGGTTACACAAACTGACAAAGGAACAATTTTAATTTTCGTTCGTCTTTAAACAACTGAATTTGATATATTGCTCTGGAGCTTCCAAAGGCCGGATCCCTTGTGAATCAAGTCACGAAAAATTCAAGAATTTGCAACAGGCAATAGGCCTATTTCTTCAATGCCGACACTTCTATTCTATTCTATAGCTTTTTAATTTTCAATTTTGTCTTCTTAATTTCTTTGCGCTCGTCCATATTTGGACAGGACATATTATAAGAATTAAGAGAAGTAAAAACAAGAACTTGCTCCAATAATTAGTTTAGCCGGTTTGCAAAATATATCGATCAGCGGGTGCATTGGCCCAAAATTTTTCACTACACGTATAATTATCATTGTTAGGACTTATAGCTATAATTTCCATTCTAAATCTTAGTCTTCTCCGCATCGAAAAAAGTAGACATTTTCTCACCGCTTTATGGAGGATGGCAAGTTTCACCAATGCTGCATAGAAAGTTAGCTAGGGAAAAGTGACGGCATATGGAATAGACTAAAGAGGGACCTTGTATCGTATTCGAGGCAAATGATCACCGGGTGCTCCACGGATAATCTATTCGTGTACTCCACTGATCAACTATTCATGTATTCCATGGATCATCTATTCGCTCGCTGCGTGGACTATATTATGATTATGTATAGCGCGGTGACTATTGCACGTCCAGGTCAACGATCTCAATTTTTACATGAAACCCCCATATGCCATAAAGACCGGCCGAGAAAAGTAAGCATTAAGGCCTCACATAACGTCGGAAAATGCTATTGAAAATTATATTAAAAAGAAAATGTTATCTGCATAATATAATTAAAAAGTTTATTAATTATTACATCAGGCGAATGAACGGTTGAAGAAATTCACAGTAATTATTCCTGCACATGTGCAGTCAAAGAGGTGTGCAATTATTAAGCGATTGCATTAATCATTTCCAGGTTTTGTCTTTAGACTCTAATTACATCATTAATTTATTTATTATGGAAGTAATTCCTGGTTTCTCGACTAAATTTTCACTTCCAGACTGAAGGAAGTGAGTCTTATCTATCTGAATCCAGATTTTTTTAACTTCGTACATAAATAATTTATTCTTGATGCATAGTCCATGATAATCAATTATTTAAAGTAACTGCCTGTTTGGCAATAGGAGCTAAAGTTAGCCAAAAATGCTTAAAAAATTATTATAAGTGAACTAGAATATTTCAGGTAAAGTTAACTAATTTAGTATGTTTCAGTAACATTCATTATATCAATCGTCGACACTCTAATCTTGATCTTCATTATATGAAAGAGACATTTCAGATAAAAAATCAACTGGCATTCCAGCAGGTAGCAGAAGACACTACAATCTTATTCTCTCTTCTCCGTAAATGCCAGCTCGACACCTGCTGACATTTGATTGACATACTAAGCCAGTGCAGCTGGTTAAAACCTGCGTGTTTAATGGACGAATACCGAAAATTACAATAAACAACCATTTCTTTCAGTTCAGTGTTGTTAAAGTTTTCATAAATAGGAGGAAACAGAAACGCAATGCAGAAAACTTTTTCTTTGTAGAAAACTTAGCTTGTGGTGGAGTTTATTCAACTCGAATTATTAATTAATTAAATCGGGAGCCTTCGAGAACTGTAACCATAACCATCAGCTCTATCCTGTTAGTGTAGCCGGTGCTGGACTGTAGTCTGTGTGTACTAGGTACTTGAGTCTAGGTCAAACCGTCAACTTGCCGACCGTCAAGCCACAGTCAGTTGCAATAGTGATATAGAGGAGGGTGGTCGTGAGCTGAAAGAGCGCAGTTGTTTCACTCGATTGCTCAGTATTTCACTTAACGGT